GGGGGGGGGGGGGGGGGGGGGGGGGGGGGGGGGGGGGGGGGGGGGGGCATACGGAGCAACCACACATACATATTACATGAAACCAAGGTGTAGGCGTTGCACCTCGCGGATTTGGTCTCACGAGCTGCAGCTCTCAAGCGGATTGATTACCTACCAACCTTGGGGTTCAAGTGTGTCCGCGAATCCCGCCCCCCTCGGGCCATCCCGTTTCACTTCTTTTCTCGAGAGACTGGACCGTTTTATTTTTTTCGCGGTGACTAGAATAGAATACGATAGATGACGAGCTGAAAGGGGCTCGTGCTTCCAAGAGCTACACACAAAGACAAAACATTTTCCCCTAAGGCCCAATGCCAGGACCAATTAGGACGTACCCTCATTATGGCCACAGTTCATTGATCCATTGATCGACTGGGTCCCGTGTTTGGGAGGCGTCAACAATCGGAAACAATACAAAACGAAAGTACTGCAGGACCAATCTTGCGACGTGCTGGTGGGAGTACACACGGCGGCACCAAATATCGTCGGCCTACGCTGCTGTACGTTTTGCGTATGAAAAAATGGAGTGGGTTTCGAGGGCATTTTTGTGCCAAAACATAAAAAAAGTAACCACTATATCGAGCTATGTCAATAAATAAATGAGTAATATCGTGAGTGAGATTTTCTCGAAAAAACGGAACGCGTGGCGGGGATCACTGCTGTACTGATATAGCAGGGGGGGGCGAGGGCGAACAGTACCCCGTAGGACAGCACCGTATGCACATGGTAAGCGATTGTCGATAGAGGCTACTGCTGCCGTCGGTCAATCGATAGGTTGATAAAGTAAATCTTGAAACGGTTGAACAGGTCGAAGTACAACTTTACAACACTCGAAAAAGTGAGCCTAAATAGAATGGCCATGGCAAGGCACAACGGACCCCGAGCATGCCATGCAACTGCTGTCGGGTCAGAATACAAGAGCAACTATAGGAACACCTGGAGCAACACGTCGAGAGGTAGAACAATAAAAGCACAAACAAGAATGACAACGACCCGATCCATGCCCAGTACTAGAGTTGATACACAGATCTGCACACCATACCTCAAGCTTGGCCTGTGTATCGTGTGCCAGGTGTTGATCGGTGTGTTTTTCTTCCTCAAGCTTGAGCACGAGCGCCTCCAAGCTGCTCAGGTCCTCCTCGTCCTCCTCTTCCTCCTCCTCCTGATGTCTTCCGTCCATCACGCCCACGCCCCCCTTGCCCCTGTAGGAGCGGTGACCCCCGTTGTTGCTGCTGTGAACGCCATTGCTACCAGCCTGTTCGCAGCACAAGTGCAGAGACAGGTACAAAAAAAACACAAGCAGTGGGGCGCTGAGGGTGTGCTCTTCCTCTTCTGTCCAAAGTTTGTCTGCACGAGGCCGATGCTGTACCGCCTCGGCGTGCTCATCTCGCAAACAATCTTGGCCATGTCTTACAATCTGCCCATCGACGCCACCACAGCACGTCGACCGTTAACAACACGCACGGCGGCAAAAGCCCTAGCAGCACCGGCTCTCGACGGCCCCAATGACAATAGCTTCGTCCAGCGCTCTCCACGTTACAACCCGTATGCATTAAGAACGGCCGCACGCATCAGCGCGGACCGGCTGAGGGTATGCCTGCCGGCTCCCGAAAAGAGTCATATCGATTCTTTCCGTGAAGAAGGGCGGTATACTCCTGTATGTTTATTTTACCCCCAAGCGTTCGCAACCTGCCCCGACTTGCCATTCCCATACGACCCGACCCGTACACATCGCCCTCTACCTGGGCATCACACCCGCAGCCGTCACACATGTTACAGGTGGTCTCGTAGATTTGATAGGCGTTGGTGGATGACAGCTTCTCGTATGACAGCTCCGAGGAAGACCTACAGCAGTTAGCAACTGCAGTCGCTGATGTACTGCTTTCTGATGTCCCCGCATTGTGGATCATGTATGGTTAAGTACCCGCATTGGAAAACCAATGGTTCGGTAAGACTAAGACTCCTCCTCTCAACTTGCTTTAGATGAGACCCTCGCACCCAAATGTATTCTCATTTCCTGGCGTCCGTGTAGAAGGTTATGCTGGATGGTGTGTTCTGTTTTCGAAATGAACGTCGCTCTGCTATCCTAACTTGCGCTACAACTCGTGGTCGAGTGGAGCGCCTTCTTCTCGCACCGTGTGTAGGCATCCGATGTCAGCAATCCCAACGGGCTACTGCTGTATGCTATCACACACCCCACAGTCAGTACGAGCGGACCAAGACGCCATGGATGGGCCAGCTCTTCCTTTCCTGGCATTTCTGGCAGCACCAACTAACGACAAAGAAAAACAAAGAGGTTGCCCGCGACATCGCGCCAAACTTACATCGCTAGATATACTACTGCAGGTGCTGGCCTTGCGATGGCTGTCGCAGAAACAACACCGAGGAGACAGCAATCGACTGCCGCCTCGCTACTCCCAACAGATACCGTAGCAACATTAAAGACGATTCTTTCGAGGGACGAGACCACGAGGAGGAGGAATTCGCAGTACTCGTGTACTGTGCCTGCTGAGTTGATCCGGCTGGCTCTGGCTCAACCAGGGTCGGCACGTACAGCAGTAATGGTTTCCCAACCATCTGTTGCTGCTCCTCGACGTTCGGGTTGTTGTTGTTGTTGTTGTTGTTGTTGTTGTCACATTAGAAGCCGTTCGATCTCCGCTCGGTGCCATCCAATATCCGTGCAGTTCCAGTATACCTGTCGTGGACCGCGCCTTCCGTGGACACAAGCCAACTACAGCAGTACCCAAAGAGGGGGTAGACGACACCGAATACATTTCTGGGTTGGACATACTGCTGTATGCTGTACAATGCTGTGGTAGATGCCAATGCTGCTGTATTGCTCATCCAACGGCGGTGTCGCCAAGCAGCCACCGCCAACCCAAACATCTCGTGCTGCTCTTCCCTTCTACCGTTCGGGCTTGTCACAACCTTAGAGTAATGCCGAAATTGTACACAACAGCAGTAATAGTTACTCGTAGAAGTGACTACTCGACGCAGGTCTGTCTTCTTTAAATCTGTTGGTGCATCCTCCGTAGATAAATTGCACACCGGCTTGATTCACAAAATTGCGCGTGTTGTTGTTCTTGTTAAAAATTAGTAACTATATGTTAGAACCAAGCAAACCACGCGTGTGGCGAACCAAGCATCGCAACGCGGGGGGGCGGGGGGCGGCACCCTGCAAACTACGCGTGAGGTGAACCAAGCAAACCACCGAGGGGGGGGTCTGTTACAGAGTAGTTGCTGCTTTGTCCCAGCAGACAACAACAAACAGGCTCTCCCTGCTGTCACCCAGCTTTCCATGGGCTACTCAATGAAAGCAGCAGAGGAGACTCCATCTACAGCAG